ATTCCTCTATCCTCCTTCACTCTGAGAACCCCATTCCTCTATCCTCCTTCACCCTGAGAACCCCATTCCTCTCTCACTCCTTCACCCTGAGAACCCCATTCCTCCATCACTCCTTCACCCTGAGAACCCCATTCCTCCATCACTCCTTCACTCTGAGAACCCCATTACATACATACATGTTCCAGACAGAGAAACACTCAAGGAAGTTGTTTATCTATTTTGTTGTGCTGTTGTTACATTTGTATTGCTGATTCGTGTCCGATAAACGTGTTGTTGCGTCATCTGCGACGTACATCATGAGCAAAGTCATTGTATTGTATCAGTTCCCTTCCCCTGTGAGAACCACAAGCGCGGGCTGACTTGGCTTTGCTGTCCTGCAGCCGAAGCCTGCCAGCAGCCGACCTACCACCAACACAATGTAGACAAATGCATGTCTCTTCTGGAAGATACCGTAGCCGAGGGAAGTAGGGTTGCTGACGTTGCTGCAGCACCCCCTGGTGGTGAAAGGGTAAAACTACAATACTTTGAGGCGTTGCAAAACAATAGAAATATAATAACCAGTTGCAAATGATCATGGGAGTAGCGGTTAGAAAAAAACATGAGGTATTTATATATGGGCCCCATTCAGCAAGATTTTGTAAGCGGTGCGCTCATGATATGGTCTTAGCTATTCAGTTGTGAGGGTTTGGAGTTGGACACGTGCTCTGCTGTACGATAAGACAGTTTGAGTTAAGACGGGTCCCTCTCTCTCCCTCTCTGTCTCTCTCCCGTCTCCCATAGGCGGCTCGTGAGTTTCAAGTTTGGGGAAGCTAATTTTCACCATAAAAATGCACCTTTATAATAAAGCATTCCAAGCATCCATCATCGCATTGTAAGACTAATGTAATACAGCATAAGGTGATGAGTAGATTGAGTTATGGTATTATCCCAAATTATGGCAATCACTGTTGGCAAAACAGACTGTGGTTTTCAATGCATGGCTGAGCATGTAGTGGCAGAGAGTAGGCCTAGCTTATAGGCTATATCAGATACGTTTCTTCAATGCATGGCTGAGCATGTAGTGTCAGAGAGTAGGCCTAGCTTATAGGCTATATCAGATACGTTTCTTCAATGCATTTTTCTGGATTTTCTTGTTGTTATTCTGTCTCTCACTGTTCAAATAAACCTACCATTAAAATTATAGACTGATCATTTCTTTGTCAGTGGGCAAACGTACAAAATCAGCAGGGGATCAAATACTTTTTTCCCCCTCACTGTATATCAGATACGTTTCTTCAATGCATGGCTGAGCATGTAGTGTCAGAGAGTAGGCCTAGCTTATAGGCTATATCAGATACGTTTTTCTTCTTCTTCCTTTTTGTCTTTATAAACACGTCTTGCAATTCTACTACACTTTATGTCTGGAGACATTAGCAGAATCTGTTTTAATACTACAATAATGAAAGTATAGTCTCTCTCTCTGTGTGAATATCAAGTGATCTGGAGCAGTGTTCCCAATAGTCTTCCACTTCTATTAGTTAATTATTCTAAACTTGGTGAAAAGGGAAAAATATCAAATAAGGAGCATGGCGTCCTCACACTCTCTCACCTTCCCCACGTAGGCGTACTGGCCCACTAGTCTATCAAGCAACACAGCATTGGGCCCAACGAGTTGAAGAGGTGCTTTCCACTACTGTTAGTGAATCTCTTCCCGAATCTTGGCTAATGGTCACATTGTTAACCTGCAAATGCTTTATTATAAAGGTGATTTTTATAATACAGAGAGAGGTGGAAGCTTGAAAACTGAATCCAGGCTGACAATGCAGGGCTGCGTTCAGGACATAAAAACGTAATAGAACGTTCAGTACATTAAAACGTAATAGAACGTTCAGTTGAATAGAAATGGTGCTGGACTGAACAACCAGTTGAAAAAACGGGGAGCGGTTGGGTTGTGGGTTCAAAATGCACCGTTGCCCTTTAAATACGTCACTCATTGCTTCAAGCCACACCGGCACACCCACCGAACGGAGCAAATGTATCTCAAAGTCTGTTCAAGAAAGTACAAGAACGTTTTGAGAAAACGTGTCGTTCAGTTCCAACCATTCCGTAACGTAGCAAACGTCCAAGCGAACTGAACGTACCCCTGGTGAACTGTGTGTAGGACACTAGGGCTGCATTTACATGGACAGCCCAATTCTGATCATTTTTACACTCATTGGTATTTTGACCAATCAGATCAGCTCTTAAAAAGAGCAGATGTGAAAAGATATGATAAGATTGGTCAAAAGATATCAGAATTGGGGTGCCTGTGTAAAAACAGCCTAATTTGAGTGAGTGAGTGAAACAGAGAGAGAGAGAGAGAGAGAGAGAGACAGAGACAGAGAGAGAGAGAGAGAGAGAGAGAGAGAGAGAGAGAGAGAGAGAGAGAGAGAGAGAGAGAGAGAGAGAGAGAGAGAGAGAGAGAGAGAGAGAGAAAGAAAAGATTGAGTGGGGAAATATAGAGAGAAGGATGGAAGCCAACATTCTAACTTTCTTTGTCATTGCTGGTTTTTAACGTAATAATTCTTGAAATCTGATCATTCGCTTTCGATTGATTAGGGACATGCTTTGTGTCCTGTAAAAATCTCACATTGTCTAACAATGATCAAATGATATCCAACAGGGGAGTTTTCATTCCTTGTTCAGCCTCACTTGAACCAGGAAAAACACATTTTAATATTCCCCTTTTTTCCAAGTCCAAAGACAACAAAGAGTCTCATTGTTGAGCTGCTATCAATCATTAAATAAATCAAACAGATTTTTCTACACTTCAGTGTAAGACATAAAGACAGAGCAGATTCTCACTACCAGGGTAGCAGGTTAATGTCCTCTACCTGTTGCTTACAAAAGGTGCAATCTCTTTTTCACAACACACACAGACACATTCAAATGTTATTTCATTATTGTTAATGAGAAGGATGAAACATACATACATTCAAAAATAATATTGTAATCAAAGTGAGTCTAGACTAAGCATGTAAACACACCAATTATTTTAAAGATTTGTTTCAAAATACATTTGTATGAAGTTGATCCGGAGATTAACATGATATATATATTCTTGAATTATCATGTATGATGTCGATCACAGCTTGAATTTCAGGTCAGGTCAAATCTAATCTCAACACCCAAAACCAAATCAGCTACTCTGTTATATTCTTTATGAATCAATTGGTTGCAATTGCAATTTCAATTTAATCCTCCAGAAATGACAGAACAAATAATGCAACAAATATTGTGGTTAAATTCAAATATACTAATTGACAAAAAACCTTTATTTTTTGACAGAATGTTTAAAAAAGGTATAATCTTCGTAAATGATATCATTGGTAGGACTGGTGGAGTTATGACGCACATGCAGCTAACAAAAACATATGGAAATGTCTGCTCTACCCAAAATTACAACCAAATAATTGCAGCCTTACCGCAAAAATGGAAGAGGAAAGTGGAAGGGGGAGAAAGTAAGGAACTTGTCTGTCAGCCTTGCATTAAAGAACATAATTGGTTAAGGAAAACTGTGATAAATAAAAAAGTATATCAGTTTCACTTAAGGACCAAAGGATTGACAGCCGTCCCATATAGATTGCAAAATAGTTGGGAAGAGATCTTTGATGTACCGATCCCATGGCATAGTGTTTATGAACTGACACGCAAAACGACACCGGATTCAAAAATTAGAATCTTTCAATTTAAATTATTATATAAAATTCTTGCTACCAATATAATGTTATTTATATGGGGGATACAATCTTCCCAGCTCTGCAGATTTTGCTGTGAAGAGACGGAATCATTGGATCATTTGTTTTGGTTCTGTCCATTTGTAGCTTGTTTTTGGACACAGGTCCAGGAATGGCTAAAGGATTGCAATATTTACCTGGAACTAACCTTGCAGATAGCATTACTGGGTGATCTGAAAAGCCATAGTCAATCAATCAATAATCAATAATATAATAATACTTTTAGCAAAACTGTTTATTTTTAATTCACAATCTGTAGAAGCAATGAGAATAGAAAGGTTCAGAACTTTTGTAAAACATCACAGTACGGTTGAAATATATATGGCAAATAGAAATCCTATATGGATGGTGTTAAGAGATAGATGGGAGGTATTGAATAGAGTTGAAGGATGGGACTAATAACAAATAACAACAAATAATAACAAAGATAGCTAATAATGTAAAGCATACTGTGTCCATAATAAGTATATAGGTTGTATGTTGGGAGCTTTTGGGAAGGAGCACAGTTAGAAAGATATGGCATATAGAAGCAAACCGGATGGACATCATGAAAATTATCGGAGAGGTTGAGAGTAGAAGAAGTTCAGGAGCAAAAAAATAAAAAATAAAAATAATAATAATAATATATATATATATATATATATATAATAGAATTATTGTAAAAGTAACTCTGTCCATAAGGTGTAGATAGTAAGTATAGACCGGAAGTAGAGGCCTGGGCATTGTTGTTCACTAATTTACTCCAAGTAGGGAAAGGATGGTGGGGTTGAAAAGTAATAAAGGGGAGTATATATATATAAAAAAAAAAAAAAAAAAAAAAAACATGGGGGATTGGAAGTGATGCAGACAATTACATTGATAGAAGATACAATCTATCTGCAATATTAAGCTGATCCATTCCCCCCCCCCCAAAAAAAAAGATTTAAAAAAAAAAGATTTTTTTTTTTTTTTTTTTAAATAAATAAATAATAAAAGTAAAATATAAAGAAAAAATAAGAAAATAAGAAAAGTCAAAACAAAAACAAGAATCAATTGGTAAATATAATGTCTGTAAACGTCCAAAAATGGATACAGTAATCACAGATTGCCTCTTTAACAAGAGATATAGCGTTACAAATAATAGGTGGAGTGGTTCTACATTAAGCATGGTAGAACAGTACTGTGCTGATTGGTCAGAAAGTATTGAAACTCAGGTCAGATTAAACCAGGACCATTATTACCTACTTGGCCTGACGGAGTCACGTGTTACAACATCCTCATCACCAGCACAGAACACAATATAACAGGTAGGTAATGACCTTTGATCCCCACAGAGGAACAGACACAATCATCATCATAGACACAATGGTCATGTACATCTTCATCCATGAGGCGCTGCGCTATTGAACACTGATCCGGGAACACCTGGACACCACCACCTGGGTAATGCTGGTTCAACATCTCATACAGCTCTGCCGTAGTGTTTGAGGGCAATGTTTTCCCCTTTACATACTCTTTGTTCTCACCCCAGTGTGCTCCGGCCACCCACTGTCCCTGGTTGTTGTTGTAACAGCAGTAGGCTGTCCACAGGAGAGATGGGATGTTCACTCGGTTCTTCAGTTTGTTGTTCGTACTGGGCACTGCTCCAGTCACCACATAGGCCTTTATGTTGTTGTTAGCATCAGTACAGTTATCCTTAAGAGTATTTCTGACCTTACACTCCATTTTGTTCCAGCTGCCCCCGTTGAAGGACTCCACCTGGGGAACGATGTTGGTCAGGGTAAAGGTGGACTTCTGAGTTTCAAGGTCATGAGCATGTGAACATGGAAAGAGGTGACCTCTGTTCACCCCTTTTTCTTTTATTGAGTCCTTATAGTCGTTGTTCCCAGCCTGGTGATCTGGAGACTGTCCCTTATCCTTACTCATTTCAGGGCTGTTTTTTATGTTGTTGAGCTGCAGGAAACAACAATCATACATTCATTCATTCACAACTAGTCTGTACAATTAACCCTATTATCTGTTCAATTAACCCTATTTTGTGGTGGGGGGGGGGGGGGGGGGGGGGGGGGGGGGGGGGGGGGTCACGATCCACAATCAAGACAATCAATCAAGTCTCTATACCCTCTATAATGGTAGTTCTATATTCTGTTAACATTACTGCTATATATCACAGACAGTTAACAAATACAAATGTTATGTTATGTGACAAAACATTAGGCCTACCTGGGGCTCGATCATCCAGGGTTGATTTGGTCTGCCTTTAGGAGGAGGACCAGTGATGGTGTAGGCTGAGAACACAGGGATCTTGTTGGTCGTGTCGTAGAGAGTTGCAAACCTGTAGCTGTTCTTGTACTTCTGGCAAATCAGCTTGTAGCGGTTCGGGTCCTTGACTGTCCCACCAACCAAAATACCCGGGAGACTTGGAGTTGTCCCCTCCAGGAAGAAATCACTGCACTCTTTAACTTCGCTGAACTTCCCCACTACATGAGAGAGAGAAGGAGGAAGGAGAGAGAGGAGGAGGAGAGTAGAGAGATGATTCAATACCCCCATCATCACCTGAAGACTGGACACCACAGAGACAAAGATGAAGTTACAGAGACCAGTTGGTAGACTGGAGACTGCTGAGCTGAGACAAGACAGACTGCTTTAAATAGGTTTTCAGAGACCAGTTGGTAGACTGGAGCCTGCTGAGCTGAGACAAGACAGACTGCTTTAAATAGGTTTTCAGAGACTCCTCCTTCAGATGTCAAGACAGATGGGGTTGATTTGCATAAACTCCTCCTCTAACACACTTACTGGAATCCAGACAATTGTATATGTTTGTACAACTGAAAGCAATCAAATGTCAATCAACTTTCCATGTCTGATTTAGCCTCTAACACGCTAACTGGAAACCAGAAGATTGCATATAATGGATGTTTAATTTACTGGTGTTGTTTATGTTGGTGTATTCTGTAGTCTGACCACTGCTGAGTTTATTTCCAGTAATAGAAGTAGTTCACAGTAAGAGTTGACAAGGCTGTGTATGTAGTGTTAGAAAATGTGCTTCCTAACAACACTGTGGTCAGAGCAGCACTGGACTGATTAACACCTCAGCAGCTGTAGATTCTTCAGTTGAGGAGGCCTTTTCTCAGTTCTTATTATGAAAATGTTATTTACAGTGCCCTCCACTATTATTGGCACCCCTGTTTAAGATGTGGTCGATGACTTCCAAAAATTCTCCTTTTTTTTTAAACAACATAGAACCCAAATGCAAAAAAAGAGAAAAATCCAACCTTTTATTTAAGTACATTACTTTGGTGGTAAAAAAAAAATCTCACATTTAGAAAAAAATAAACTTGAAATCATGTGTCCCACAATTATTGGCACCCCTAACAATTCCGCTGAAAATTTTAATTGATTTTTTACAAATATATTTTTCTGTAGTTGCTAAAGTTGGTCAGGGTATCTAGGAACTTTTAATTAGTAATTCATGACTTCCTGTTTCCCTGGGGTATAAATATGACGTGACACAGAGGCCTAATTCTCTTACCCATTTGTCAACATGGCAAAGACAAGAGAACACACCATTCAAGTAAGGCAGATTTGTGTCGACCTTCATAAGTCAGGCAATGGCTACAAGAAAATAGCCACTTGCCTTAACTTGCCCGTATCTACAGTCAGAGGAATCATTAAGAAGTTTAAAACAACTGGAACAGTGACAAACAAGGCTGGAAGAGGTCCCAAGTTTATCTTGCCACAACGCACAGTGAGGAGGATGGTAAGAGAAGTAAAAAAAAGTCCTAAGCTCACTGTCACAGAATTGCATCAAAGAGTGGCATCTTGGGGTCACAAAGTCTCCAAAACAACCATCAGACGCTCTCTACATGCCAACAAACTGTTTGGGAGGCATGCAAGGAAAAAGCCTTTTCTCACTAACACTCACAAACGTAAACGTCTGGAGTTTGCTAAGCGGCACTGGGACTTCAACTGGGATCGTGTGCTTTGGTCAGATGAGACTAAGATTGAGCTTTTTGGCAACAAACACTCTAAGTGGGTCTGGCGTAAAACAAAAGATGAGTATGCCGAAAAGCACCTCATGCCCACCGTGAAGTATGGTGGAGGATCTGTGATGCTGTGGGCCTGTTTCTCTTCCAAAGGCCCTGGGAGCCTTGTTAGGGTGCATGGCATTATGAACGCTTTGAACTACCAGGACATTTTAAATAAAAACCTGATGGCCTCTGCCAGAAAGCTGAAGATGGGTCGTCATTGGGTCTTTCAGCAGGATAATGATCCAAAACATGTGGCAAAATCTACACAAAAATGGTTCAGCAGTCACAAACTCAAGGTCCTCCCATGGCCATCTCAGTCCCCAGACCTCAACCCAATCGAAAACCTGTGGGGCGAGCTAAAGAGGAGAGTGCATAAGAGAGGACCCAGGACACTGGATGATCTAGAAAGATTGTGCAAAGAAGAATGGTCAAAGATCCCTCTCTCTGTGTTCTCCAATCTTGTGAAATGTTATAGGAGGAGATTAAGTGCTGTCTTGTTGGCAAAAGGGGGTTGTACAAAGTATTAACATCAGGGGTGCCAATAATTGTGGGACACATGATTTCAAGTTTTTTTTTTTCTAAATGTGTGATTTTTTTTTTTTACACCATAGTAATGTACTTAAATAAAAGGTTGGATTTTTCAATTTTTTTGCATTTGGGTTCTATGTTGTTTAAAAAAAAGGAGAATTTTTGGAAGTCCTCGACCACATCTTAAACAGGGGTGCCAATAATTGTGGAGGGCACTGTAAGTTAGATGAATAATATTGCTATGCAAAAAACACACATATCTCGGCTACGATTACACACTAAGTATGTTCCTAGGATATACCAGTCGTTTACAATTCAACCAAAAGTGGCGGACATTAAATGTTACAATTGACCCAGTAGGTGAATGTTCCACAGATCAATAATTTAAAAAAAGGAGAGGCGGCAAGTATGTTTACTTTAGGGCCTCAAACCCCTTTTTTTGTCCATAAAACTAAAAGTAATTAATGGATTTAAACAAAACCTCTTGGGCATGTAGAGACACTGACCAAGCATTAGCACCTTGAATAAGAGCTTTAAGTGGTTTCTAATTGGAGTTATTTAGCGGTTACAACTGACCCTGTGTTACTTTGTTCCCCAGGCTACCCTACCTTCATGTAGAATATTTAAAGTGACTGATTTGCTTAAGTAAAACATTTGTAACTTCTTCAACTACCATAAACATTTTAAAAGAACTGAAGCAGGTCACACAATTTTACTTAATGTAAAATTACCTTTCTATTTGGTATTTAAAGGTGTGGCCATTTATTTGATAATTGTTTACATAAAGTGTTGCCTTGAATGTTGGCTTGTATGACGTGTGATATACTATGAATCAATGTCTTATTTCATGAAACTACAGAAATCCTTTGTTTCAGGGAAACATTATATTTATTTACTCATGCATGTGGGGAGGAGTGCCCTTTTCTGTCCAATGAGGTCATTTCCTGTGCCACATACAGAGGAGTTTATCCAACCAAACCCAACTTATCCAGTCCTGACCACTAATTAAAACCAGACAGGACTCGCTCTAGGCCAGGTCCTTTGTTCACTTCATACACTTCTCCCAGATATCATCACAGAAAGGTTAATCATTTAGTTAGATAATGTTTACCCAGTGGCATCCTGAGGCATTGATAGACCATGAGAAAAGAAAAACAACTCTCAATGCACTGTTGCTGACCTCGGCTGGCAACTGTCGGGAGAAGGAGGGACAGGGGGAAAAAAACATAAAAAATTAACTAAAGTTCCTTATAAAATGTTTTTTTTGTGATATTGAAATTCTAACACCTGTTAAAAACACTTACTTCAAGTCAAGGAGGGGGGCAGGGGGTCAGGGAAATTACTTGATTGTTCTTGTTAAAAGACCTGGAGGCCTGATCACCATACAGTCCCAGGGAGGAGGCCTGATCACCATACAGTCCCAGGGAGGAGGCCTGATCACCATACAGTCCCAGGAAGGAGGCCTGATCCCCATACAGTCCCAGGGAGGAGGCCTGATCACCATACAGTCCCAGGGAGGAGGCCTGATCACCATACAGTCCCAGGGAGGAGGCCTGATCACCATACAGTCCCAGGGAGGAGGCCTGATCACCATACAGTCCCAGGGAGGAGGCCTGAGCACCATACAGTCCCAGGGAGGAGGCCTGAGCACCATACAGTCCCAGGGAGGAGGCCTGAAAAATAACGTGTTTCAAAAAATTCTAAAAAATTAATAACGGAAAAGTGGTGCACCTGTGTGCAATCTAAGTCCACCTGTGTGCAATCTAAGTGTCACATGATCTGTCTCATGATCTCAGTATATATACACCTGTTCTGAAACATCCCAGAGTCTGCAACACCACTAAGCAAGGGGCACCACCATGCAAGCGGCACCATGAAGACCAAGGAGCTCTCCAAACAGGTCAGGGACAAAGTTGTGGAGAAGTACAGATCAGGGTTGGGTTATAAAAAAATATCAGAAACTTTGAACATCCCACGGAGCTCCATTAAATCCATTATTAAATAATTGAAAGAATATGGCACCATAACAAACCTGCCAAGAGAGGGCCGCACACCAAAACCCACGGACCAGGCAAGGAGGGCATTAATCAGAGAGGCAACAAAGAGACCAAAGATAACCCTGAAGGAGCTGCAAAGCTCCACAGTGGAGATTGGAGTATCTGTCCATAGGACAATTTAAGCCGTATACTCCACAGAGCTGGGCTTTACGGAAGAGTGGCCAGAAAAAAGCCATTGCTTAAAGAAAATAATAAGCAAACACGTTTGGTGTTCGCCAAAAGCCATGTGGGAGACTTCCCAAACATATGGAAGAAGGTTCTCTGGTCAGATGAGACTAAAATTGAGCTTTTTGGCCATCAAGGAAAACGCTATGTCTGGCGCAAGCCCAACACCTCTCATCACCCCGAGAACACCATCCCCACAGTGAAGCAAGGTGGTGGCAGCATCATGCTGTGGGGATGTTTTTCATCGGCAGGGACTGGGAAACTGGTCAGAATTGAAAGGATGATGGATGGCGCTAAATACAGGGAAATGATTGAGGGAAACCTGTTTCAGTCTTCTAGAGATTTGAGACTGGGACGGAGGTTCACCTTCCAGCAGGACAATGACCCTGAGCAAACTGTTAAAGCAACACTCGAGTGGTTTAAGGGGAAACATTTAAATGTCTTGGAATGGCCTAGTCAAATCCCAGACCTCAATCCAATTGAGAATTGACTTTGTATTGAGTATTGAGTATTGACTTTGGGGGGGTGAATAGTTATGCACACTCAAGTTTTCTGTTTTTTGCCTTATTTCTTGTTTGTTTCACACAATAAAAAAAATTGCATCTTCAAAGTGGTAGGCATGTTGTGTAAATCAAGGCAACAAAATAGGAAAAATGCCAAGGGGGGTGAATACTTTCGCAAGCCACTGTAGGTGGTGGTCCAGGTGTTCCCAGAGCAGTGTCCAATAGGTTTTTCTCAGAGAGAGAGAGGCAGAGCAGAGAGAGAGAGTAGCAGAGAAAGGGAGAGGAGCAGAGAGAGAGGGAGAGGAGCAGAGAAAGGGAGAGGAGCAGAGAGAGGGAGAGGAGCAGAGAGAGGGAGAGGAGCAGAAAGAGAGGGAGAGGAGCAGAGAGGGGGAGAGGAGCAGAGAGAGGGAGAGGAGCAGAGAGAGGGAGAGGAGCAGAAAGAGAGGGAGAGGAGCAAAGAGGGGGAGAGGAGCAGAGAGAGGGAGAGGAGCAGGAGAGGAGCAGAGAGAGGGAGAGGAGCAGAGAGACTGTAAAGTACATTCCCCCATGGGAGACCAGGGTTCAATCCCTGAGTCAAACCTTTCAATTCTTCTTCTTTCCAACCTTCTACTATGTCTTTATATCACACAAAAAAGCATGAAAGGGAATGGAATTCTGCAAAAATATATACACAGTACCAGTCAAAAGTTTGTACACACCTACTCATTCAAGGGTTTTTCCTTATTTTGACTATTTTCTACATTGTAGAATAATGGTGAAGATATGAAAACTATGAAATATCACATATGGAATCATGTCGTAATCAAAAAAGTGTTAAATATTCTATATAAATAGCCACCATTTGCATTGATGACAGCTTTGCACACTCTTGGCATTCTCTCAACCAGCTTCATGAGGTAGTCACCTGGAATGCATTTCAATTAACAGGTGTGCCTTCTTAAAAGTTAATTTGTGGAATTTCTTTCTTTCTTAATGCGTTTGAGCCAAAAAGGTTGTGTTGTGACAAGGTATGGGTGGTATACAGAAGATAGCCCTATTTGGTAAAAGACCAAGTCCGTATTATGGCAAGAACAGCTCAAATAAGCAAAGAGAAACAACAGTCCATCATTACTTGAAGACATGAAGGTCAGTCAATCCGGAAAATGTCAAGAACTTTTGAAAGTTTCTTCAAGTGCAGTCGCAAAAACCATCAAGCGCTATGATGAAACTGGCTCTCATGAGGACCGCCACAGGAAAAGAAGACCCATATTTACCTCTGCTGCAGAGGATAAATTCATTAGCGTTAACTGCACCTCAGATTGCAGCCCAAATAAATTATTCACAGAGTTCAAGTAACAGACACATCTCAACATCAACTGTTCAGAGGAGACTGTGTGAATCAAGCCTTCATGGTCGAATTTCTGCAAAGAAACCACTACTAAAGGACACCAATAATAAGAAGAGACTTGCTTGGGCCAAGAAACACGAGCAATGGACACTAGATCAGTGGAAATCTGTCCTTTGGTCTGATGGGTCCAAATTGGAGATTTTTGGTTCCAACCGCCGTGTCTTTGTGAGACGCAGAGAAGGTGAACGGATGTGTGCTTCCCACCGTGAATTATGGAGGAGGAGGTGTGATGGTGTGGGGGTGCTTTGCTGGTGACACTGTCTGTGATTTATTTAGAATTCAAGGCACACTTAACCAGCATGGCTACCACAGCATTCTGTAGTGATACGCCATCCCATCTGGTTTGGGCTTAGTGGGACTATCATTAGATTTTCAACAGGACAATGACCCAACACACCTCCAGGCTGTGAAAGGGCTATTTGACCAAGAAGGAGAGTTATGGAGTGCTGCATCAGATGACCTGGCCTCCACAATCACCCACAGTCAGATGACATCAGATCCTCCTACTGCTGCTCATTCCGTTCACCAGCTCCGGAGGTCTATGTCACCGGCCTTCTAGGCGTCACTGACCAGGTAACGAGTGGAGGACAGAGGAGCCTCTTAAAGAAGAAGTTACAGGTCTGTGAGAGCCAGAAATCTTGCTTGTTTGTAGGTGACCAAATACTTATTTTCCACCATAATTTGCAAATAAGTTCATAAAAAATCCTACAATGTGTTTTTCTGGATTTTTTTTCTCATTTTGTCTGTCATAGTTGACGTGTACCTATGATGAAAATTACAGGCCTCTCTCATCTTTTTAAGTGGGAGAACTTGCACAATTGGTGGCTGACTAAATACTTTTTTTCCCCACTGTATATATATATATATATATAAGTGTTTGTTTTGGGCTTCGTCCCCGTCATTTTTCATGATGTACCTTGTGTTGGGTGGAGTAAATTAAACTCCTGCGCCTGTCTTCTAATCATTATACAACGTGACAGAATAATCAACCCATAAAAATGGAGACAGCGGGAAAGGCCGAGCTGGTGACCATCATAGAGACAGTCCAGCATCACGAGGACTGTCTCTCCAGACTCGGTAGAGCCATGGACAGTGTGCTGGCAACCATCCTGCGGTTGGAGGGGAAAGTGCAGTCCCTCCAGTCTCCAGCACCGGTTCCGGCACCAGCCCCCACACCACCACTACCTGTCCCTCCCAGAGCGCTTTGACGGCGCACCAGCGAGATGCATGGGATTCCTTCTGCAATGCGACCTGTACCTCGCTCGCTACACCGAGGCTGTCTCCGGGAGAGACAGGGTTGCCACAGTCAACTCGGAACTGACCGGAAGGGCCCTGGACTGGGGTGCCGCGGTCTGGGAAACGGGCGCTTCACCCTCCTCTTCAGCTCTGTGTTTGAACATCCTGTGGAGGGCCGAGAGGGGGGTGAGCGTCTACTCCGACTATGCCAGGGATCTAGGACCACCTCGGAGTTTGCCCTGGAATTCCGGACCTTCGCGGCTTCCACCGGATGGAACGAGTCGGCTCTGGTCACCGTTTTCCGCAGCGGACTGCAGGAGGAGGTACAGATGGAGTTAGCCTGCCGTGATGACAACCTGTCACTCGACCAGCTCATCAGCATGGCGATCTGGTTGGACAACCTCCTGCGGTCCCGACGAAGACCTGCACGGATCCGGAGCCCATGGCTACACCTGCTCCGTGGCCAGAGCCGATGGAGGTAGGCTCTGCACGTTTGCCCGAGGCAGAGAGTACAACACGAAGAGCTATCTATCCAAAACGGAGATGTATGGGTAAACCACTTCTCCAATCTTTTTGGCCCTATAACAGAGAACAAACAGCAAAAAAATAGACATGATATACATGATCAAATGCAAATCTTAGAATCAACTATTAAAGACTACCAGAACCCACAGGATTCTCCAATTACATTGAATGAACTACAGGACAAAATACAAACCCTCAAACCCAAAAAGGCCTGTGGTATTGATGGTATCCTCAATGAAATGATAAAATATACAGACCACAAATTTAAATTAGCTATATTTAAACTCTTTAACATCATCCTTAGCTCTGGCATCTTCCCCAATATTTGGAACCAAGCACTGATCACCCCAATCCCCAAAAGTGTAGACAAATTTGACCCCAATAACTACCGTGGGATATGCGTCAACAGCAACCTTGGGAAAATCCTCTGCATTATCATTAACAGCAGACTAGTTCATTTCCTCAGTGAAAACAATGTACTGAGCAAATGTTAAATTGGCTTTTTACCAAATTACCGTACGACAGACCACGTATTCACCCTGCACACCCTAATTGACAAACAAACAAACCAAAACAAAGGCAAAGTCTTCTCATTCTTTGTTGATTTCAAAAAAGCTTTTGACTCAATTTGGCATGAGGGTCTGCTATACAAATTGATGGAAAGTGGGGTTGGGGGAAAAACATACGACATTATAAAATCCATGTACACAAACAACAAGTGTGCTTTTAAAATTGGCAAA